TGTGCAACACGTAAGTGTAGGAGCCCTCAGAGGCTGGGAGAGGGTGTCAGTGCCCTGAAACTGGAACTACAGGTAGTTATGAGTGACCTGGTGTGGGTGCTGAGAACAGAACTCAGGTCCTTTGCAGGAGCGGTGTGTTCTTAACTGTTGAGCTAGCTCTCCAGCCCCCTACCATTAATCACCAAAAATACATTAAAAGCTGTAACAATGGGGTTTGATAAACATGGTTAATTCTACCTTAGATAATGCTTTTGCCTATGATAGCTGGTTTTGATGTACTGTTGAGCAGTACAATTAATCTAATTTTGTCTCCAGTCATTTGTGGAGTCATCTATCAGGACAACTGTTGTGTGGAAGGACTGAGACTTCTGGACAGCAGACATCAAATGGATGTGAAACAAACAATGATATTGCGCAGAATCTCGAGGGACCAGGAGGAAGACACATGGCAAACATCTAGGTTTAATCAAGAAAACAAGATGCGGTGACTCCCCGTGTCTTCTTTCCACAGCCACTTTTCCTCTGTGGTATAAATTTAGACACAGCGTGAAATGTTAGCAATGTCCCAGATCTCTTCCTTTGGCCCAAAGGAGAATGAAGGGTATTTATTATCCATATGCTACTCATTAGTCTGTTACCCATAAATCCTTGTGTTAGGAAACGTAAACTTTCTGAATGTCCCCAGGGTTAGTCTATCCTATTCACTTCATCAGCCAACGTGAAGGAATATTTTTTTGATGACCACTCTAGTTATTTAACTTGTGTCATAGGGACATTTTCCTTAGAGCCTTTTCACTGGAAATGGTTACAGGGTTTGGAATCTTCGTAAGGGGATACGGGCCATTGTGCTGTCACAGTCTTGGAACAGCCTAATGGTCCTACATAACAGTTCGTTTTGCCTTGGGGCTGGCATTAAGACTGTTCCGTTCACCTAGGAGAAGCACTTTGGGAACAACACAGGAGGGATGGTCAGACCTGGTGCAGCTGCGGGAATGTTTTTGCTCAACGATGTGACAGAGAGTTAAACGCTCAGTAATTAAATTCCCTTTTCTGCCACACCACAGGGCTTTTTAAGATGCTTTGTGAGGAGTGGTGCTGGAGATTAAACCCAGAACTTTGCTAATACAAAGCGTGTGCTCTATTACTAAGCCAGACTCTGAGCCCTATTATTTGCAGATTATATAGCTCAGTGGTAGAGTACTTGCCTAGTGTGTGGAAGGCTCCAGGTTCAATTCTCAATACAGCAAAAGGCAAAAAGATTTTAATTTTTTTGTTATATAATTTCCCTCCAATTTTGTTAGTGGAGGCCTGAGGGAACTTAACTGTAGATAGTGGAGGTGAGTACCTGTGGGAAGGCTGGATTTAGAGAAGTGTTGATTCCTTTACAATGAGTACATGAGAGTATGTTGCAACCATCATTACTTTATTTTGCTGTGGGATAATGCTCTTGTACACTGTGAAGATTTGTCACTTGTATTAGTTTAATAAAATGCTGATTGGCCAGTGGCCAGGCAGGAAGTATAGGTGGGGAAACCAGACTAGGAGAATTCTGGGAAGGGGAAAGGCAGATACAGTCATCAGCCAGATGCAGAGGAAGCAAGATGAGAATGCCTTACTGAGAAAAGGTACAAGTCACATGTCCAAATATAGATGATAAGAAATAAGGGTTAATTTAAGTTGTAAGAACTAGTTAATAATAAACTTGATCTAATAGGTCAAACTGTTTATAATTAATATAATCCTCTTTGTGTTTATTTGGCACTGAACAGCTGTGAGACCAGCTGGGACAGAAACTTCTGTCTATATTATTTTCATACCCAGTTGATAAGCTATCTGGTCATTTATGCAGTCCAACATTAAATGTGACATTAAGGTAAGAGATGTGATGTCCAATTTAATGCCTCCATCTCCTACTTCTAAGATGTGCTATCTTTGAACCAGCTGAAAACACATTATCAAGGTGTAGGTGAGATGCTCCAGTGGTCAAAAGCACTTCCAGAGGACTTGTGTTCAGTTCCTACACAGGGCAGCGCACAGCCTGCGACTCCCGGAGATCCAACACCCCCTTTGGTTGTCATTAGCACCATGATGCACATGGCAGATACTCACACAGACACATATGTATTTACATGGCTATTTTTTTATATAAAGTATCATCAAGGACGAGAAAGATGGGTCAGTGGGTAAAGGTGCCTCCTGGCAAGACTGAAAACCTGAATTCAGTGTCTGGGACCCACATGGTGGGAGAAGAGCACTGCCTCCTGGGAGTTGTCCTCTGCTACGTGTCTGATGCTTAGAAACATACATACAACTGAACAACATTTCCCTATTTCATTGGGTGGGTCTATCACAGTTATTTATTCAGCCATGAGGGGACATTTGGATTGTTTTCAGTTTTGGGCTTTGAAAGCACTGCCACAGATAATTGCAGACTTTTTTTTTTTAATCAGGACCCCATGTAGCACAGGCTGGCCTCATATTCATTATGCAGTCCAGGCTGTTCTTGAAAGCCTGCTCTTCTTGCTTCCACTTCCCATGTGCTGACATCATGGAAAGGTAGCATCACATCTGGCTTGCAAACTTTTTTAAAAAAATGATTATGATTATTTTCCTTTTTTTGTTTTTGAGTTTTTGACTCTCTCTACATAGTTCTGGTTGTCTTGGAACTCACTATGAAGACCAGGCCAACTTTGAACTTACGGAAGTCCACCTGCCTCTGCCTCCCATGTGCTGGGCCTAAAGATGTGTGCCACCATGCCAGTCTTAAACGCAAGGTTTATTAAGGAACATGACGGGAGTTAGGGATGCTGCAATCCATTTGTAACCCTGGCTTTGTTAGTGGTGGCTGCAGTCTGGGCCAGGTGTTTCCAAGTTCTTGGTCTCTTATTCAACAGACTGAAATAAGGGCTCACTTAGATTTGCAAAGAAAAACTTTATTCAAGGCAAACTCATGGGACAGATCAGAAAGGGATAGATATACTCTCATGATTGACAACGAGCCACAGGAATGAAGGTCCTTAAAGGCTCCAGCTACTCTTTGGAACTTCTTTTATAGGGTTCAAGAGGAGGAAGAGTTGGATACTAAGGGTGATTGTTTGGGTGGTTCTCTACTCTGATTGACAGATTAAGTTATATAACCATTCCTCTAGTGTGCATGGCCTATCAATAATTATTTGATTTTAATCATATTCAAGCCCAATTATGAATACGCATAAGATGGCCAATAGGGGATTTCCCTATAAGTACACTTTGAAGACAAAGTTTACTTTATTGTGCTTGTACCCTAAACCAGTTCAGGCATAGTACTGAGAATACTTTTGGATAGAATCTGTCTATTCATGTTTGATGATTGTTATGAGGAGCAGAAACTTACTCTATTGCTCATAGAGGGTGTGCATGTAGCTCAGTGCAGGATAGGTGCATTATCTGGAGAGGAGAGTGTACTTGTATGTGTGGGTAAATGTCTCAGGATATCAAGTACATTTTTGGCAGAGGGGTGTGTGCATAGCCCATACCAAGTGGAGTCCCAGGTTGCTAAACTATCACCTACACTTGCATGCTTCATTCAGCAGTGTAAGGGAACTCTGAGTTCTGAGAAGTGGGATGAGGTAAGAATTACTTATCAGGAAAAAAGTTAGAGCCTGCTAATTAAAAAGAAGCATTGGCTTCCTCCTGACAACCTCCCCCCACCCACCCACGCCACCCAAGTGCTTATTTCTAGCTCTTGTAGTCCATGGTGTCCTTGAAGAGATTCGCCTGCCTCTGCCTCCCAAGTGCTGGGACTAAAGGCGTGTGCGTGCCACCACAGCCCAGCTCTTCCTGGCATATCTTGTGGGGAACTACTAGCCTGAGCTGCTTCCTGGGTCTGGAATAGCACTTCCCACTTCAGGTGTCAGGCTGCAGGGGCCATACCTGGTCCTGGTCCTTGCTTCCAGAGCTTTCTCTTTCTCTAGGCAGTGCTGCTGTGAAAGAGGACGGACTTGCAAAAGAGTCATCACTGTGTGGAGGCTGCCTGGCTTCCTGCTCATAGAAACCTTGTTGGCTGTTGGAGTGAGGGTCACCGAATCCGCCATGCTGTCAGTGCATAAATCCCCAAAACATGAATAGATATCAAAGAAGAATGTTACTGGAACCGTGGGAGTCAGCGATTCTGCACAGGAAACTCTGTGAGATGTTTACTGTTTACTGTAGTCTGTCTCAAAGTGGGACAAAAAGAAAAAAAAAAGAGTTGAGGTTGGGGCTTTGAGAGGGTGAAGGCTGCAGGTGAGCTCCACTCTCCGGTCAGAAGAGGTGACTGAAGTCAGTGAAGCACTCCAAATTCAGGGCTCATCAACAGATCTTGTGATGAAGATGGCTGGCTGATTAAGATGAAGTGAACCTTTAGAGTTGGATGAATTAACAGTGAAGAAGCATATGAAAAATGCGTTATATCCACTGAGGAGTCAACATGGCACCTCCCACCTCCATTCCCAAATAAAACAGTGGGAAGTAACCAGCGCCAGCATGGTCGTCTTAAATTAGAGGAGGACAGAAGACCTTAAAGAACTTTTAGCCATACCAGTGGATAAGAAACTGTTCTCAGCAGTGCTACTGAAGAAAGTCCCCAACTTCCTAACGGATGCGGATAAACAAAATGGACGTATTTTTGTCAGACCCTAGACTAGGGGCTGAACTCTGGTGTGCAGAATTCTGAGATTACCGATGGTTAAAAGTTATGAAGCTGGGTTTGATGAGGAACCACCCTTTTACCCCAGCCCATCCTTTGGGAAGGAAGATTATGTTGTATCAACCTCCAAGGACTTGGTTTTGCCTCAGATAGTTGAGTTTTTGCACGCAGAATCTGCTTTTAACCTCTATCTCCCCCACCTAGAAACGTCCCCTAGTCACTAGGATCAAGGCCAACGCAATTCCACCCATTTCCACAGCCCCGCCTCCAGCCGCGATTATATCTTCTGCGCATGCTCACAACCGAGTCTCCGGTTGGTCGCCTCGGAGCGTGGGTATGTTTTCCCAGCATGCCCGGCGCTGCTGTCATGGCTGCCCCCACGTATCTGTATCCTCACATGGGACGCTGATCCTGCGGGTGTCTACGGTACTTGTGGCCACTAGACGCCGGCGACTCTGGTCCCTCCTCCTTTCGCTTCCTCCTGCCCCGTGGGACTCTCGCGGGACCCCGTTTTGGGTACAGTGATACCGGGAGGGATGTGGACGCCGGAGCTGGCGCTTCTGAGAGGCTTCTCCACGGAGGCTGAGCGGTTGTCCTGGAAGCAGGCGGGCATCTGTGGCTCAGGTGGGAGAGCGGCACCCTCAGGGAGTTAGGTTAGCACCAGAGTTGGGAGGGAAAGGTGGCAGCCCTGGATACAGAGGGGGTGTCTGGAGGGAGAAAGTTTTGTTTGATGATCTGAGATCCGGTGCTTTGGGAAAGTTCCCGAAGGACAGACTTCATCTGATGTTTAATTTAGGACTGACAGGTAAAGGCAATTCATCAGAAAAAAAAAAAAATCGCGGTTGTAAGTGTTGAGGCAAGTATGAACTAGGGAATCATGAGAGAACCGGTGTGTTTGGATTGGCCTCCTGCGGGGAATATTGAACGTGGGACTTCAGCAAAGGAAACTTTTCTTTGTCAGCTGAAATTTTTGTGGCTTTCCCGAAGAAGGGTAATATGCCTGTTATTATTATTATCATCATCAGTGTTTCTGTGTGTGACCTCTCCTTTACTACTCATCGTCACTGTAGGTACCCTGTAATTCTAGATGTTGGTAGAATGAAAAGGATTTGCTCAATACTTAGTGATTTATAGTCAGTTTATATTGTTTTGCATATTGAAATATTTATGTAATGGATTATCATTTACACTTAAATTCTGTTGGTTTACCGGACCGATTTTTTTCTATTACAGATGTTGGAGTTTTCTTGGACTTGCTGTTAGAAGGGAGCTATGAGGCCATGTTCTTACATTCAGTGACACAAAATATTTTAAATTCAACAACGGTGGCTGAAGAAAAGATTGACAGCTACCTGGAGAAACAGATAGTAAATTTCTTGGATTGCTCTACGGATTTGGAAGAAATTGAAAGGTAGAATTGTATTTGAAATTTT